TATATATATATATATATATATATATATATATATATATATATATAAAGAATAATGGAAATTTAAAATACATTATATATATTTTTTAAATTATATATAAAGAATAATGGAAAATTAACGCGTGTAAATCATTGAATTATATCTAGTCGAAGATATAATTTAATATGTACATCAGTTAGTCGGCAATCTCTAACGAAGCCTGTACGTTCTATTTTCCAGATTACACGCCAAGCACATTGTCAAAAGTTAAATCATGTTAGAAAAAATTGTTAACTCGGCGTGCAAAGTGCCATTGTGTGTGTCGTGCCTTGCCCGAAGGAATATCATTTTGAAGGAATAAATTAAAATTTCCAATTTCTTTTTACTCTTGTCCCCAAATATTTTCTGTTTTAACAAGGAAAATTTATCGAATGCTTAAGTTTCGTAAATGATACCAATTAAGTCCAACTTAAATGAAATTGTTGATTCTTGAAAAGAGAGAAGAAGCTAGTATTATTTGCTTGTAATTTAATTTTCATTTAATTTCACAGTAGCTGCCGTGCAATACTATGTGTTTGACGAGTACAGAGTGTAGATAGAAACTTTTGAAAACACCGATCACCTGATTCGAGCTTTGAAGAAAATTGGGGAAATTCGGTCAGATCCGTGGCGAGAGTTGGCAACAATGGAAGGCCGGGGCTGCCGTTAATCTGGCCGCAATTCGATATTTACACTGGGCCGGCATTCTCCCCTCTTAACGGCGGATTTGTAATTCATTCGGCGCATTGTCGCGAATTGTCGGTATCGACCGGGGAGTCACAGAGACGTGTAATTGTTGTTGGCTGATAACTAGACGATTGTAAATTAATTTAATAAAACTGGCGAACTGGCCGCTCGGTACGCCGACGATAAATTATTATTTATCGTGGGAGTTTGGCAAGTCGCGTGCGTGCCGGTGCGCATGCGTACGCGCGTTCGCCCGATAACTGCTACGGGATATTACCGGCCCACCGTGCAGAATATTACCGGCCACGAGTTTTCCAGGCACGC